TGAATGCCTTTGGTGAGCCAGGGGGGCTTTTGAGCACTCTTGCCCCCTTTGATTCTTGTTGGGACTGTCACCCTTTGGGCTCGGAGGATCGTCTCCTTGAGGAATGACCAGTCGTCTTGGAGACCCAGTTCCCCTACCCTCTAGGACCCCAGTGCCCCTCCTACCAATCTCCTCAACTCACTGAAGTTGAGTTTGCACTGATTGTCACTTCTGGGTTGCAAAGAACTTTCATAACAGATCAGCTGGCCCCAACTGGAGGCTGTCACAGAGCTGAGACAGTAAAGCCCCTATTCTGCAGCCCTGGTCCTGCCTGTACCTGTCAGCCCAGCAGAGCAGGAGGGTAAGACAGGGGAACAGAGGGCCCCTCCCCAGCCCCAGCCCCAATTCTTGATGTGCAAGGGTTTCCCCCAAGGCCTGCACCAGTCACTGATGCACAAGTGAGAGGTGGCGGAGCAGTTCCTCTAGCCCAGGGTTGGCCTGTGTTCCCATACCTCAATAGGGATTTCCCTGCCCTGGTAGGACTCCCCGAGGGGGAATTCCCCCTTCTCACCCCTCAGCATGGTCTGGTGCCAGCTTAGCCCTTTCCCCACAGATATGAGGAGAACATTCCCTCCAGCCTGAGGCTAAGCCAGTGCTGGGCATCAGCGCACATAGGGGCATCCTTGTGTCTCAGTGGGAGGTTACCCCACCCTGGACAGGGTCCTCCAAGTGCTGCCAGATGGGTAGTTCCTCCCCTCCCAGCCTCAGCACAGCTTAGTGGTTGCCTACCTCTGTCCCCATAGGTGTGGGCGGGGGTACAGTCCCTCCAGCCAGGGGCTGACCCAGATTCCTGTGCCTCAGTTGGGGTTCCCCTACCACAGGCAGGATCGTCCAAGTCCTCTTGCTGGTGCAGAGGAGAAATTCCCCCTTCCCACCCCTCAGCATAGTCTGGCACTAGCTTAGCCCCCACAGGTGTGTGTGGGGGGGAACAGTCCCTCCAGCCTGGGGCTGGCCTGGATCCCCCTGCCTCAGTGGGACCATGCAGAGGTATGGGAAGGAGAAATCCCACCTCTGCACCAGCATCAGAGCTCAGGGGACCCTGCCCAGGGTGGGGAAATACCCACTGAGGCACAGGGATCCAGATCAGTCCTGGGCTGGAGGGAAACCACCCCCCATGGGGGGGACTGCTGGCAGTTGGGGGCATGCTATGGGCAGCCAATAGGAGATGGGCCCTGCTTGGCTGTATTTGGGTGCCCTCAGCAGTGCCCAGCAGGCTGGGAGGTGTGTATCAGTGCCTTTTGGCTTCTGGTCTGGGCCAATGCAGGCATCTGGCTCCTTTTCTGGATTTTAATGTGCACATCAGTTCACTTCTTCATCATTTCAATCTACGCAGTTTAGGGAAACCTACAAATATTGAACTGATTCAGCCTCAGGCTTTTTGACTGCCTGTACTTAGCCCAGAAGTTCAGTGCACATAAATCATTTTCAGAATGGCTGAAACCAGTTTAAGATAAACCTGGATGGCTGTAGAATCAGACTTGGCTGATTTAGCTTAAACTGGTTTATTAAACTTCTGTCCCAGATCCCCTTCAGATTCAAGTTAACTTTCAGTCCCCCAGCATCCCAGGATGCTTTGCACCTGTTCCATGACACCCCCTCCCCCCCGGTCACAGGGTGGGTGGGCTAGCCTGAGCCCAAGTTGTCTGCTCCAGCCCAGCAGGGATGCATGGTCATGTGCCCCCTGGCTTCTGGCCCAGGTCACTGCAGGCATGTGGCTGCATTTCTGGAATCAAAAGTGAATGTCTGTTCACTTGCTTATCAGTTCAATCTACACAGCTTAGACTAACCTGTGAAGATTGAATTGATTCAGCCTCAGGCATTTGGACCATCTGTTATACTTAACCCATGTGTAAGTTTGTTTCTGTGTGACTTGGCATGGCATGGCATAGCAGATGCAGTCAGAACAGTAGAAATTAGAGAGCTTTGCAGATATCTCCATCCCTCCCTCCCTCCCTCCCTCTCTCCCCCAAAAAAGCAGCATCACAGTAAAGGCAATAACACTGAAGATATTAACTCCTTCCAAAGCACATAAACTGTAGAATAGTGCAGCTAGGGAGGAAGGGATGCTGTGGCAAATCTGTTGTCAACCGTCATTACTAAGGAAACTCAAGAATTCCAGTTCCTCATGCTTGGCTATGAATAACACATAGTTTGTGCCTTTTGCATCTGTGGAACTTACTCAGAGGTTGCAGGACCCACCCTGCCTGTTATGTCCTGATACCATACCTACCTCTCCAAGTGGAGCATGTGTCGGTTTTGGCACAGCACTGATTTAGTGGATCTTGGCAGCTAAGCCTGCCCCTTCCATGTATTTTTATTGAAGAGGAGGAGTATATTTTAGTTTCAGCTCTAATTTTAGTTGTTTGCACTGATTGTCACTTCTGGGTCTCAAAGAACTTTCATAACAGATCAGTTGTATCTTCTTTTATCTTCTTTTTCTTCCTCTTTTTCTTTTCTTTTCCTTGGCAGGGAGAGGGAGGTGTTATTTGCTTTTGATGACAGATTGGTCTGAGCACACTTAAAAACTGCAAGCTAGTCCTTAACACATTGCTCAGTATTTGGCACTGCCTGCAAATGTCTTGGCACAAAATGGCCGGTAAAAAATATGTGGGGCTAAGTTTTTCTTTTTTTTTAGCAAACAGGCATGTGTAGTATTGTATTATTCTCTCTACCCTGCTTTCCCTTTTCATCTGCACATTTCTTATGGAAAAACTAATTTTTTTTTAAAGCATGTAGAGTGTTTTCTTTATAGTTTGGTAAGTTTTTAGTAGCTATTTTTTTCAAAGAACCTATTTAATGCTTTGCTTATTTGAACTCTTTTATCAGAGATTAAATGTGGATGTTTTTATAGTGTGCACTACAACATTTAATTTAGAGATTAGGCCACACAGAACAAACTAAAAATGGAACCAAAACATTTATATTTTCTGAATTAAAATAGTTGATGTGAATTAGGGAATTTAAAAAAAACCCACAAAGATGTGTACAGCCTTCTTGATTAAACTTTGAAAGACCAATATATTAGATTATGTAAACCTGCATGAGTTTAAAGGCAATAGTGCTGAAGCCAGAGTTTTTAAATATCTGGCTTTGGTTGTTTCATTACTTAACCTCAGTCTAAGAGAAGGACAGAAACAGGTGATGAAAGGCAAAATTAATTAACAGAGTAATATTTGTCTCTTGTGTTGTCTATTGTTGAGAATAACATTTAGCTTTATGCATTCAGGAAAATAATGAGAAAGTAACCTTTATATTTCTTATGCCTGGATAACTTAACATGTTGTTGGTTGCGGTTCCTCATTAAAAACCATGGTAATGTTAGGATGTTTTAACAATTTTATATAGCTTAATCTTCAAAAGCAAGGTATGCTTTAAAAGAATGAGGCCAGCTAATAAAATCAAAAGGGTAACATAATAAATAAAATTCCAGAAACCTGAGCATGTCTACTACAGCTTTGCCCTCCTTCTGACTATGGTGTTGATATTGGCAGGCAGTAGGCTGTGATCGACAACTTGGGAGTAATGCCAAGGAAGACAACTGTGGAATCTGTGCAGGAGATGGTTCAACTTGCAGGCTTGTGAGGGGACAAGCTAAGGCACATGTTTCACCAGAAAAAAGTAGGTTGCAAATTGATCCTATGTTAATTTATCCTTGACTGTGTTTTCTGCTTATATATTAACACACGTATTGAAGAGTCTGACCTTTTTGCTATATATTTGTTTGCAGTCATCCAAAGCTACTTATTATAAAGTCTGTGCTAGATTAGTCTATTGAAATTCCATGAGGGATACCACACATTAGGGTATAGCTAGGAAAGAATTTAAGATATGCCTTTTTTTGCAGAGCAGCTCAATTTATTCTGTCAGGAATAACCATCAAGATATACATCTTATTTTAGAGGGTATCCTCATATTGCAATATATGTGACTCTGTGACAACACTTTTAAATCATGGAAAAATCTTATGGATGGTTCTATGGAAAGTGTGGCATGTGATTTTAATGCCTGGTTTTCAAGTTAACTGTGCTCATTTTTTTTAAGCTTTGAAGACAATTGCGAGTCAGAGGCAAGTTAACTACTTCCATGGTACAAAACATACAAGTCTTGAAGAATTAGGAATGACAATACGTCTGCTAATTTTTGTACATTTGAGACAATTTGTACAATTTTGGGCCAGATCCTGCTAGCCTTCCTTGTGTACTGTACATTGTTCTGCAAATAGGAATACTGATCTCAGTATTATTACTAGATGACAGGCAGAATAAAGCCTTTTGGACTAGAACAAAGTAAAAGGGTGGCTGTGCTGTTGCAGGCAGAGTTCCAGGAAAGACTTGTGACTTAAAGGCACCCCTCTGACTAGCTGTTTCTCCACAGCTCCTATTTTGATTCTCCTATCCAACCAACACTGCCAGTGAGTGCCTGGTGGGGGGACAGAGCCTGGTTTCTAACCCTGACAGTGCCCCTTCTATGTCCCTTCCTACCCACTTTTTTCCCACTTGTTCCCAATGTGGGAGTACTGGTATTTTGGAGCCTATTCTCTCCCTACCGTTTCTGCACTCATAGGCTAGGGACAGACATAGGGCTGTGTGAGGCTTTGGACAGAGCTTCAGATCTGGAGAAGCTTCGGATGCTTCAGGGTCTGAAGCAGCACATCCGGGTCAAAGTGCTGGCTTCCCGAAGTGGTTCGGAGCTCCCAAAGCGCTTCAGAGCTGCCTTGGAGCTGCCTCAGAGATCTGGCCATAGGTTATAATGGAGAAACAATAAAATATCTATAACTTTGTTGTTTTTTGTCTGATTTGGATGAAGTTTTCAGGGATGGTAAACTCTGCATAGGGGATGAAGCCTTCCAAGTTTCAAAAAGATCAGTGCAGGGGTTTTGAGGCAACTCTACCCCAAATTCCTAAAAGCAAAACTCCTGTCACATCTATGTGTTACAACACAGGGGGGTCAAACTGCAGAGGTGGTAGCTCTTACTGAGGCCACAAAGTCTGCCAAGTTTCAAGAAGATCGGTGCAGGGGTTTGGGGGAACTGCCCCTCAAGCTGCGGACAAGCAAAACTCGTGCCATGGGTGCTTGTGGGACTGACCGTGTCTGTCTTGGTGCGGGGAGGGAGACACTGCTGCAGGCCTGGCTGCTGAGCTGCTGTGTTACCAGTTACCAACCAATCATGATTCACTCGGGGACTCAGGGCCCAGCTCAATACACAGGACCTAGCTACTACATAATGACTTAACGAGCATCAATTAGCACCTACAAAACCAGGCTAAGGAGAAGAAAGAATGAATACAGACAATCAACTGCCCCAAAACAGAGACAGTCTTGGCACAGTTTTGCCTGTCAGCAGCTGGGGGTGCAGGGACCCAGAACCCCCCTGAACCTATCTCCTCCACAGCTGGCAGGCGTCATAGCAGGGGCCACCATCCCTGCAGCAGTCACCCCGCTGTGCCTGAACACACGCAGTGTCACCCATGGCACGAGTTTTGCTTGTCCGCAGCTTGAGGGGCAGTTCCCCCAAACCCCTGCACCGATCTTCTTGAAACTTGGCAGACTTTGTGGCCTCAGTAAGAGCTACCAGCCCTGCAGTTTTGACCCCCCTGTGTTGTAACACACAGCCATTACATGAGTTTGGCTTTCAGGAATTTGGGATACAGATCCCCCTAAACCTCTACACCGATCGTCTTGAAACGTAGCAGGTTTCATGCTCTCTGCAGAGGCTACCATCCCTGCAAGCGTAATCCAAATCAGACATAAAACAACAAAGTTATAGATATTTCATTGATTCCTCATTATACCCTAAGGCCGGATCTCCGAGGCTGCTCCGAAAAACTTCGGAGCTGCTTCGGCCGGATCGAGGCAAAAACCCAGTCCGGAGCTCTGGATTGGATTGCAGCCATCCGAAGTGGCCAGATCCAAAGCCATATCGGATTGCTGCCAACTCGCACAGGCCTAGACATTACACATAAATCAGTTTAAGTGATCAAAAACTACTTGAAACCTGTAACAGAACAGACATTGAGTGCACATAAACCAGTTTGAAAATGGCTGAAACTGGTTTGAGATAAACCTGGTTGAAAGTAGTATCGGACTCAATTGATTTGGGTCATACCAATTTATGCAATGTCTGTCTCAGACCCCTTTCTGGTTTAAGTTGAATTAGATTCACCCAGTATCCTGGCATGCTGTCTGGGCTGGGCAGGCCCCTCCCTTTGCTCCCTGGCTGGAGCTCCAGCAGAGACTTGCAGGCACAGCAGGGTCTGCCTCACTTCCCCGTGTCCTCCTCCCCACTCCCCCGCCCCACTCACTGCTTAAGCAGGGATCCCTCCCTCCTCTCTCCTGCAGCACGGACCATAGCCAGTATATGGTATGCTAGCTAATGCTGAGAGGTATCTGTGTAATGTAGACAGGACAGTGTCCGCTTAGGGCTTGTTGGAGCTAATCAACAAGTCAGGTGGTAATGTCCCTGTGTTCCTTCCTTTGGAAAAAGCTGTTTAAGAAGAGCTTGAACTAATGGGCGAAGCTTTGTTTTCTGATGGGGTGTTAAATGTTGATAACAGAACTGATAAGTGGGGGGGGGGGAATCCCTCCCTAATCAGAGCATCCTGCTAGGGCTTGGCCATGCCCCCCGACTCAGCTCAGCACTGTGGAAGAGAGGGAAGGGCTGCTCTAGTGCCCCCTGGCTTGTAGCTGGAGCCACTGCAGGCATGTACCGGCATTTTTTTCAGTCCAGGGGTGATGTCTTTACGGTTACAAACTGATTCAGCCTAGGCAGGTTAGACTAACCTGCAAAGATTAAATCAGTTCAGGCTCAGGCTCTTTGAGTGTCTGTCCCTAGCCATAATCAGGATAAACCCTGTCTTTCTCAGAGGAAAGCAACCCTTCTGGCCCTATACTCCCTTGCAGAGCCTTATAGGACAGAGTGACACTTACACTCATATTACTATCAGAAATCTCATGCAAACCTAGACAGACATGTTCAAAAGGATATAGAATGGAATAATTGTCCATTTTGGAGGCCTGCACCAATTTCAGCATATTTGGACTAATCACTATATATAATTCAACCTGCACACAGTTCATGAACAAGAAGATTTTGAAAGAACTGTTACGTATAAAGTCATATTTTAATGCCTATTGCAGTACCTATAAATATTTTCATGCTGCTTTATGCAATGGCTTGAATTGTGCTTACATGTGAGTGTAATTTGAAATGGAGCATATTTTATCTTGATGCATGTTACCTTTCATTGGGATGACATACATTGGTCTGTGGAGCATTCCAAATTCTATGCTGTGTAGTTCCTGTGATTTGCAAAATATATATAACTATGGTAAGATCTTTTTTTAGAAGGTATATTTTTATGACCACATATATAAGGGTCATGAAATACTTTAAAGAAAGGCAGAAATATACATTTTCTTAGATGTATACTGGTGTTGCTACTGACAGTTTCTAACTCATTAGTGGCATGGACCTATTTCTTGGAGTTGAGAATTTGATCTGCTAATCGAATGTAATGAATGAGTTCGTCATGGAACACTGAACAGGTAACATTTATACTGAGCAAGAAAACAGTTTTGATAATGTGCATGCTCATTTGTGTGTTCATTCTGAACAGTGTTGATCACACTGAACTCACAGGGACTCTTTGTCCCTGGTAAACACACAGCAAATGTTACTCAATTTAGCAGTGCAAATTGAACAAAATGTTGGTTATATTACAAAGCCCAATACTTGCTTTTGTTAAAGGAAGCCCCCCAGGATGTTTTAGGTGTTACAAAAGAAGTCCCTGGCACACCTGGACATCATATGAAAAACCAGGGAACAGGCTTTCTTATGCACCAAGCTGTACTCTGTTGTTCCCTCATGAACTTTCACTGGGTAATGGGGGGAGGCAACTGAGTGTTGAATGTTCCCCAGTTTTTCCAAGAATATTTTGGATGCTCATGCCTCTCTCCTGCCTCATCTCCCTCATGCTCAGGGGAGGTAACTGGCCTAAAAGTTGACTGTATTATTTACATCAGCTTTATACTGGTAGGGATTCCCCTACATGGGAAAATTCTCTGGAAGTAACCTCCAGTCACTTTAAGTTCACTTTATGCCATCTTAATGGCACAGAATAGACTTGTTAAACTGGAGAATCTGGTCAGAGTGCATTGGACAGTTGAAATAAAGTGTGAGAGTGTCTCAGTACTAGAAGTAAAGAGAAACTTTTAAATAGGATTCTGAGTTTTCTGGAATTAGAGTTGTAAGATAGTTTACAAATAGTGTCAGTAAATACTAGTTTAGTTCTGCTTGCAGATCTTTGGCCCAACTAAAGATTGGATGCCTGATACAACACTCATTTAAATAAATTAAAAGCCTTTCATCTATGCCACTTCTGACCAAACAGGGGAGTTCCACAGTGAAACACAGCACACTCACTCCACATGGTACAGCTCCATGTGTCACGTGGGCTGCTGTTAGACATTTGCTCAGTGATGCTTTAATTGTGGCTACATCACATTTTGGGGGACTGTAGCAATGGCATAGCGGGCATCCCATGCTCACTGCAGCATTTCATGGTACAGTTTTGAAGTGATACAGACATGATTCATTGGTTTTGCTAAGTATGGATCAG